AATTTAGTTAATCTGTGTGATGGAAATCCATAATGTATTCAAGAAAACACTTTATTGTGCGGTTTTCACTGAAAATGCAACATATGTTTCGCTATACATTAACTTCTTCAGGCGTATAGACACGCATTACAAAAACGCAACACGTGTTGCGAAATTTTTCTTAAATACATATTAATTGTTAGAAAGCATATTGCATTTCAGTTACTGACATATTGGTATTTTCTTTCCAACTTTTCTCGAGTTTTTAGACGTTATCTAAGTCTCCAGTGTCTTCCTCGATTCACAAATCGTTTCAACTGAACATTATTTTGAGAGGAATCAATCTTTTTGGTTAATTTACTAGTTTAATTAACAGCCACGATGAAAGAAAACCCCAGGATTGAAATTTTAAAGAGATGTATATATTTTTGATATAGAGAACGTTACTTTTTTTTTGGGAGTTTTGAAAATTTTTGTTTTTCAGATTGCTTGGTTTTGCTCATTCATATTTCTCCACGCTTGAATATTTTTCCTATTATATACTTAACTTTGAGCCTGTAAGGAGACGAGATTGTTGTTATTGCAGTATATTTACTGGAATAAACGGTTGTCCCTAAGGCAGATAATAATTAGCTGTTTATGTATATATAGGATTCAGGCAGTATAAAATGTATTTAATTGATCTGGAAATTACCCTCGATACTATGCATGACATTTATTTTGCTGTCACAGTAGATATTTATTGGAGTAATAAAATCACATCTACTGGATACTAATGTATTTTTTGCAAACACCTGACTTGCTCTTTGTTAATTCCAAGCACCCGTTTTTTTAATAGACTTAATTATAGTACATATACGTGTTATACAGGTCTTTCACGACGAGCGTTCGTTAGGAATATATGGAGAACGATTCAAAATAAAAACTTGAAATTTTGTGGTAGTGGGTTTTACAAAATAGCCTTCTCAACTGAAATATTTTCAACTTCTGGTCTCTTTCCGTTATACCAGAAGTTGAAGGCAACTTCCTTATTCCAACTGTATTTTATTACATTTTTGAATTTCTCAGCACATTTTTAGGCCCACTTTGTATAACAATGCCTAATATCCAAATTTGTTAGTTCACTTCACTGCACTCATTGCACGCAGCAATGCTGCCACCCCCTTTTTGTCTAAATTTTTTATTATATTAAAAAACACTTAATATTTTTTGGAGACTTCAAGACTTTTTACACATAATTAACACATTTATTTGGTAAAATCCTGTCTCCACGCGGACATCCGGTCCACCCGGCCTCAAACCTGCGTGAATGGGGACAGGAATTATATACATCCACTATAACACTCCCACGTGGACATCCGGTCCACTCCGGCCTCAAACCGGCGTGAATGGGGACAGGAATTATATACATCCACTATAACACTCCCACGTGGACATCCGGTCCACCCCGGCCGCCAACCGGCGTGAATGNTCATTATTCTGAAGCCAGAATTAGACAAGTCTTGTCAACGGATCTTGACGATATAATATTGTTAATAAAAAAAGTACCACACGATATGATTATATACATTTATTTCAGAGTTATATAGTAAAATACAATACTTCTATGATTCGAAACGAACAAAGATTACTTAATACAAACGCTGCGTGAATGAGAAGATGAAATACTCACTGGTGTCACCATATTTTGAAATATCCCTTGAAAAAAAGTAACGCCAGCCGCCGCTGGTCTTCCTCGATAGTTCTAGGTATCGCGTCGCTTCGAGAATATTTTTGTCAGCTTCCGACGACTTCCATCGCGTTATATAGGAACTACCAATAGGCAGGGGAGACTAGTGTAGTTGAAAGTTCTGTACGAAGTGAGCCAATGAGGCTATTGACATTTGAGTATTAGTATGAAGTTCAGTTGAAGTTTTTGTGTTGACAGTGTTAATAGTGAAATATATTTGAGTTGAATTGTACAGTGTGGTCAATGATTGTCGAACCCACAGGAGGAACGTAACAATACAATTAATTTAGCCTTTCTTCTCTTCCTAGATTCAGAATTATTATTCTTGAAATTTCTACTAGCATATTCTGGTGGTCAGGGTAAGTATTATAAATGTCATGATACACTTCTTGTACTTATGAGCTTCTAGGGGCTTTGTATTCTTTGGTAATGCATAGGAAAAAGCAAATCTCACCTTAAATTGATCAGGCACCAGTACTGAAAATTTCATCAATAATGTCAGCTACTATTCAAGCCAAACGTTTCAAAAATATTTACCAAACAAATAATAAATAAATATCATTTATTGGTGAATTACCAAAGGGCCATCGACTGAATGTCCTTCAGCCAGTGTACAATTTTTAAATATTTGCAGTGATTTTTACATATGCTTACATAATAGATTTGAGGTACATTATATTTCTGACAAAAAAAATATATAAATTATGAGAGTGATTTGATGTTTTCCCAATCAGTTTTTTCCGGATACTTGGATGGTTGTCCTTAAGCTCTTTCCCTACATAATGCCTGTAGGGTCTCTAGTTAGTTTCATTTTTGGAAAAGCGGTTTCCTAGGTCTGATAGTCTCTCCTTTATAGGTTTCACTTTTGCATTTCTATAAAGCAGTGCATTTGAGGGATTGTGTAGTGTGTTCTGAGGGTGACGCATTTTGGTAATACTCCTTAGTGTAGATGTTTTAGCTTTTGCAAGATTTTTTAATGCAGGATTACAACAACTTGAATAAATTACATGTGCATATTCGAGAAGTGGACAACACGGGGTGCCAAAGAAGAGCCATATTTTTTTTAGTTTTGCTTATATGCGCACTCAGTAGTTTTGACCATTTAATAAATTTTGTTGTAAGTTACATTCGTTTAATAATCACCCGTCAACCATTAACGACTCAATTCAGCGTTTCAAAATATGTAATGAAAATCTACAAATTTGAATGTAATGTTACGTTTTCCTGGGTTTTCGTGGGTTTGACCATAATTGACAATCAAACTCGACTTAATCTAAAAACTTCTTCATGAAATTCCTTTTCGGAATTAGCGGACTAATGTTCGAAATGTCACATATGTGACATATAAACATGGAAACTATTCATATTTTTCAGCGTAATAATAAAAGTAAATCGTCTGTATCAAGATTATTCTTGTATGTCAATCAAATTTCAATTTTTTTTTTGTTGGAAAACTATAATTTTGTATTAGTATGATCGATGATAATTTGTTCGACGGCCGATTTATTTTTATGCAGTTGATTTGTACTTACAGTGTGTTAATATTTGATTATGATCAGTTAGGGAACTGAGTGAAGATGAAAAGCAAATCGTGATACTTTCTGAAGACTTTCAACATTTTATGGATAGAGCTGGTAGGATAATGGAGAGAGCCTTGTGTGAAAGTGTGGACATCTATAAGGATTATACTGGAATGTTGGGAGAAGAAGGACTGTGAGTATGCAGATACGTATATATTTTTTGTATGAACCAATAAACGCGTATACTAACAAAGTATTGAATGGGTAGGGTGAAAATGATACTTCACAACTTACACAACACTAACATTTACTGCTGACACACCGTGTCATCTTTTGAGCGAATTATAAACTAAACTAAGTATATGATGTCATCTCCTTAAATACTAAAAGTTGCATTGGTAGGTAGAGAAAGGTATCAAGGGGCATTTGGGAAATTACTGTTAACATTATTGATGATTTGAGAATTGTAAATATCTATCTGATCATACAGAACAATGTTGTTTTTATCAGCAAGATGTTTTTATTTCTATAGATTCCAATATTTTTAATTTCAGACTTTTTGGTTGAATGTGTAGAATTTCGGGATTTTCTGTGAAAGTCTGAGAGTTTCCTAGGAGATGATTGGCGTAGTTGGAATCTTATTTATTCAATCTGTAACTTCCCAAATGCTCCTTTAGTCTCTGTTTAGAACTGCGGGCAGTCTGACCTATATATAAGACATTGCACTTGTCTCACTTGACGTCGCAAATTTTTTTAACTTGTCCTGTGCTGACTTAGAATTATTCATAAATAAATGCAAATTGTTGTTTGTAGAATGACACATATGTCAGACACGCAAAATGTGTCTAATGTTTGTCTAATGTTTGTGTCTAATGTTTGGGGGTAGATTAGAATAAATTTGAAATTTTGCTGTTTTTTTTTTTTAGTATTTTGTTTACGATGGAGGTTTTATATCCAATATTGACAGTGATCTGTTTTATTTTGTTCAATTCTTTCTGTAAATTTTACTAGTTTTGCACGATATTTATATGTCTCTGTATCACGGAGTGGTATATTGCAAGTTTATGAGAGTATGGGTGCATAAATAGATTGCGACGTGTAAGCTGTTAGTTTTGTGTAAATTGTGAAGTATTTTTTTTTCACCCTACCGATTCAATTGAAATGCATTTACACATATTAGAAGCCGAACCTGTAGAAAGATAAAATGTGTTTTCAACTTCAAAATAAAAAGTTGAAATCAAACCAACAAAGAGAATTTTCAAAAACTAAACACATCTACATGCCATTTCAATTATGAACGCTAGAAGTCTTAAAAGGTTAAATCTAAATTTTATGAATAAACAAGAACTTCGCCCAGACACCAGAAATTCAATGCTCTTCTTGACGCACGTTTCACCACCCAAGTTGGCATCTTCAGGTAATGAAGACGAGCGTCGAGAAAAGTATTGCATTTCTGGTGATTGAAAAACGTGGTTGTTTTTGAAGTTTCACTCCGACATGAATATTTTTGAAATAAATGATAAAAGGGTTGAAAAATATGTTTCATAGGAGCTTCCATTTTGAATGGGTCACACTGTAGATAGTTTCAAATGTATCAATACGTTTTTCAGGGATGAAAAATCTCATCAGCGAATTTCCTTCAATCGACATTTCTATGATGAGAGGTGGTCACGGAACCGAACAGTAACCTCTCTTGATTGGTGCCCACAATTTCCAGAGTTACTATTGGCGGCATATAATAATAACGAAGAATCACCGAATGATCCAGATGGAGTTGTTCTTGTCTGGAATACGAAATTCAAAAAGAACACACCCGAGTATATATTCCATTGTCAGAGTGCTGTTTTATCGGCGACTTTTGCTAGGTTTCACCCTAATTTGATACTGGGCGGTACATATTCTGGTCAAATAGTTTTATGGGATAATCGTGTTCAGAAACGGACGCCGATCCAGAGGACACCATTGTCAGCATCAGCACATACTGTAAGTTTTTATTATCATTTTTTTATTCAATATTAAAGTCATGAAAACTGTATCGAGCATTAGAAACTTCACTCAGTGAGAAACCATACTACTGTGTTGCTGACTTTTTTAATAAAACATTTCAAATCGGATCCAATTCCAATATTAAAGTAATCTTGTGTTAGTGTAATTACCCTGGTCTGATGAAGCATTCGATATGATGTACCTTCATTAATTATTTAGTCAAGAAATATACCCAGAGTTAGATGCCATTTTTCCATCAGATGAATTATGTTCTGCGTATATTGGAAGATTGCCGTTTGTGTTGATTTTTTTTGTAAGTAGCCATGTTGATTATCGCTGAAGATATAACACTCATGAAAAAACTGTATAACTTTATTACACATTGCGGTTCAAATAATTCAGAGAAACTTGAGAGTAAGCTTATGGGTCTGTAATTTTCAATACAATTTGTATCCCCTTTTATGTGTAATGGTTGTATAAATGAAAGCTTGAGTTGCTAAGGAAAAATGCCAAAATTCAAGGAATTGTTAATTATGTGTGATAAAGTATCTTTAATTACTATTGTGCATTTTCTTATCAAACAAGTTGGAATTTCATCTTCTCCGCTTGAATATTTGTTCTTCAAATTATTTGACAGTGCAACCACATCATTTGGAGTTATTGGTTGTATACACATCGACTGAGGGTTTTCCATTATTTCACAAGGGAAATGTTCATTATTATTCTCAACTAATTTCGAGGATATTTTGCTGAAACATTAAAATGTATAAAAATTATTCTGCAAAAATAAAGGAGACAGTTCAATATAGACGATGAACAATCCTAAATTGATCTTTTACGTATAATGAAATATAATGCGGATGTGGATTAGTTTTTTTTTTTTTGTAAAAATCACACATTAGTCTTTTTGATACGTTTTTATAAATTTACATTGGGCGTTTTCAACTCCATCGTGGAATAATTTCAATAAGAAATATATTATTATTTTCCTACTAAAGTTGTTTTTATAATTACAGTTCTTTGCTTTTGAAAAATTTGATAAACTCGAGTTCTGAATATATCTCACATTAATTTGGAATAATGATTTTCTATATAGAGGTGATAATTATAGGGTGAATATGACAAAGAATGTTTTGTTTGCATCCATATTGTCAGCTTAAACCTAGGGTCATCCTTAGTCATCATTTATTTGGGAGCTTTTATTGCTTTTTTTAGTCTTGAAACACGTTCTAAGAATAATTTCGATTCCATACACAACGTTATACTTTCCTTAGAAAATACCTTCTTCAGTTGTTCTATGTTAACTGTAGTAGTGCATGCTAATATTTCTTATTTGGTATGGGGATCTTCTTTACATTCATCTCGACACTCGATTTAAAATATTTGTTTTGTCGAATTTAGTCTTGATTTTCCATTGTTTTCTCCTTGAAACCTCATATAGCCGTTCCCTATTGCTTTATTAGATGTTAGCGAATGCATTAAGAATTTTCGAGTGTGGCTTAGCAGGTAAATGATAACAATGTGAACTATTTAAAATTGCAAAATAAATAGTTCACAATCTATAATTGTTTAGCAATCTTTGAAAAATATTACCGAAGAATAAAATAATAGAGCACATTAATTATATGAATATTACTGGAGGTTTTTCCCAACACCAAATCGTTATTTTTAACACCTCGACACGTGTTTCGATCACCAAGTGATCATCTTCAAAGAGGAAGATT